CGTGTATTCTAGTGTTCATTACAATGTAAAAGTCAATGTTTAATAGCTTCTGCTCATTAAGACTTTGTTCATGGTCAAAAATGTGGCCAATTTGTTGGGTTTATTGGCACTGGAACACTTTTTCAACCCAAAAGATGTGTAGACAGTGTGGCTTACCCTTGTTACATGCAGCACTTTGGCTTGGTCTGCAGGGGTAATGGCCTTTCTTGTACTACAGACTAGTTCTCCCTATACAGGTTTTCCTAGTTTTTTGGTTTGATGTCAGGATTCTGAATTTCATGCCTCTTCTTCAGTCTCTGTATCATTTCAGGAGGGTACTCTCAAGGGCTGAACTTAACATCTTTGGAAACTTAATTTGGCTAAATGAGAGCATAGTGGTTTGCTTTTCCAACTCTGTCACCTGTTCTAAGTGGTTACCCCTTCTGCAAAGAGAAGTCAAATGAGCTGACTGAACTGCATGTGGAACAGACCAGTCAAGTGTCCTGTGTCCACAGTTAATCCACCATTGCTCAATTACTTAATCTTTGTCTTGGGTTTGTTATCCTAGCCTCACAGTGGAAACTGTCAAGTACTAGGGGGAAACAGGAGGCAGGAGGGCTTGTTTGGCTTTCAGTTGTCAACTAGTGTATTTACACTGGAACTGAATGCCAGGGATTGATTCTGACCAACTCAAGCTGTCATGCAGTCTTACAGTTCTGCTGCATTGGAGCTAAAGGGAAAAGGCACGTTGCTCTGTGTATATCATCTCCTGAATGTCTGAGTATTTGAATTGGGATCCAGGAAGATGGCACAGTGTAACTATGTCAGCTTCTTTCAGGCCAGCCCTGCTTGAGAGAATGCCAGTAATGGAGAAAGTCACCACAAATGGGCCTACTGAGATTGTACAGACCAATGGAGAGACAGAACCAGCGGTACTGGAAACCAAACCTCCACCATCTGGATTGCAGCCTGCTAGCCAGGTAATGGAAACTGATCTAGGATAAGTTTCCACTGCCTATCAGACCACACTACTAGCCACTGCCAACAGTAAGCCAAGACCATCTCCCTCCCCCTTTCTGCCTCTTTGCAAGTTCTGGCCTGGTAATGATTGCTTCATCTCTCTACTCGGGCTCTAGTTTCAAGAACAGGTGTGTGGAAGAGGTCATTGTGGGGAGTGCAAGAGCAGGGTGGGGTAAAGCCACATATTTCCAAACCTGTCTCAGTGTGCATGAACACCATCCTTCTCTATCTCTATGGTCCCAAGAGCATGGAAACTAGATCTCTCATGAGGCCTGGGACCATAGCCAAACAAAGAACCTCTCTGACTGGCCAGCAGCTCTGTTGGTCTTCAGTCTGAGAGCAAGTAGAATCCATTTGCAAGGGAAAGTAGCAGGAAGTTGAATATATAACTATTACATCAACTCTCTCATTAGGCAAACGATTTGTTGGACTTGTTGGGGGGAAGTGATATAACACCTGTAATCCCCACTGCACCTACAAGCAAGCCAGCCTCTGCTGGTGGGGAGCTGCTTGACCTCCTGGGAGACCTCAACCTAACAGGTGAGCAGGCTGCATCTCTTAAAAGTCTACATTCTCATCCCTGGGGTGGAATAGTCCTCCTGGGGAGGGCTGGCTGGTTCTTCGCTTTCTATCAAGCCCTAGTCTCCACGCTTATTCTTACCAAGATCCATATTAGCATACAGGTGGGAGTCAGGGAATGAAGTGACAGGTTAACTCTGCATGATTAGCTTGTGAGACCTGAGCATTTTCACACTTCACCCTGGGAATGCTGTCAGCCTTTCCAGAGAGGGTTGGGAGATGTGAGGAATTCATTCCATTTGAATGTCTGCTAGCTCAAGAGGAGCCAGTCCTTGTTAGTGAAAGCAGAGAAGGGGAGGATGACAACACAGATGATTTGTAGAGCTTCATGTAAAGAAATATGATATGCAGCAGTTGATCTTTGGAGAAGGAGTAATTAGCTGTCATGAAACAAATAGTAAGTAATAATCCTTCAACATTTCTTGTAGGTTCTCCAGTATCTGCCCCTGCGCCCCAGATAGCACAGCCTCCGTTCCTGCTCGATGGACTTTCATCACAACCTCTCTTCAATGATATTGCTGCAGGTTAGGGACATGTAAATCCTTAGCCTAAGGCGTCACAGCACCTAACTAGAAACAAGGGGTAGTAAAAAAATGGGGAATTTGGAAGTGAAGTGTGTGGCCCAGACACTGGAACAGGAGGAAGGGGTGTGTGTAATCTTCAGAAGAGTTCATGTCTGGGGTAAAGTAAATGCATTCTATGATGTTGAGAATGATCTCCAGATTCCGTAGGTCTGCTGTTTTTGTTTGTTTTTTTACAGGAATCCCCTCGATTACTGCATACAACAAGAATGGGCTGAAGATTGACTTCACCTTTGAGAGGTCAAACACCAACCCTAGCGTCACTGTAATCACGATACAGGCCTCCAACAGCACAGAGCTGGATATGACAGATTTTGTTTTCCAAGCTGCAGTACCAAAGGTAGAGCCACTTAGTGCAACTACAGTGATAGGTTGAGGGCCAGCTGCAAATACTTTCTCATCAGTGCTTTCATGTAAACAGAAACTTGCAGCATGGTAAACAAGGCAAAGAGCTGTTAATTGGTTCTCTTAGTGCTTAGTTTGGTTGTCCCCTTCTCGTATGAAAGTAAATGTTATAAGTGCAATAGAACGCTGGTTCCTGTCAGATTAGACTACTTTGGCTTGGACAAAATCTTGGTTTAAAATCACAACTTTCTAGGAAAGTTGCTAAACCACATGCAGAAAAATGTTGGGTTAAAAAAAAGTGAAGATGCTAATCTTTCCCTTTATTCTTAGTTTCTGAGAAATATACCATGCTCGTTGCAGCTATGAATACATGCAAAAAAAAAAAAAATCTTTTGAAGCTATTAACTGCTTATAAAAGCTGAAATGAGTCCCCACATGGTGATTAGTGATGGTCCTCCTTTAAGCAGTGATTTGTCTCTCCTTGCCCTTAGCTGCAGCACAAAATATGGGAGACAGATAATGCCTAGTTTATAGTAGAGCAGACCATTTAAGCAGGGTGTGATTGGAATGTTCTTCAACTTTGGGAAAATACATTCACTTCTGGGAGTTTCACTTCTAGGAGTTACTAATGCTCTAACTTTAATTTGGATTCGTTTCCTACCTGCTGTAGGAAGGAATTAGGGAAAG